GCCGCCCGCGCCCCGCGCCCCGCAGCCCCCGCCGCGCACGGGTGAGTCACGGCCCCGCACCCGCCCCCGGCCCCCCCTTCCGCGCGCCCCCTCCCGACCCAAAAACGCACCTGCTGGGGGGGGGGGGGCATCCCGGAGCGCGGCGGAGGGTGCGGGGGGTTAAGCACGCGCTTAACCACCCCCCCGACCCCGGGAAATGGGGGGGCCGGGGACGCCTCCCCACGCACCGCATGGCTGCCCCTGCTCCCAGGGGGGCTCCCCGGCAGCAAGGGGCGCGCACAGGCACACGCACCGCCAGCCCGCTTCCCAAAAGGGGCCGGGAGCCCCGGACCTCCCCCCGCGTAACCCCGCACTCCCGGGGCGGCTCGCGGGGAGGGGGCAGCGCCTGAACTTTTGTGCGGAGCCGTTTAATGCCGGCCGGGGGTGTGTGCGGGAGGGATGATGAAGCGGGAAGGGGACACCCGCCTGGCAGAGCTGGGTCTTCCCGCGGAGTCCCCCGGGGCCGCGGGGAGGCTCCCGCTGCGCCCCCCCCCCCCCCGCCGCTCCCGCGGCTTCTCCCCCGTTCCCACGGGGCAGCCGCGGCTCCACGCAGCTCGGCGGCACTTTCCGTATCCGCCTCCCCTCCCCCCCGCCAGATAAAAGCATGTTAAGGGTGGGGGGGAGTTATGTTAAGAAGTGCGTGTTTGTTTTGCTCCTGCTGCCCAGGGGCAGCCGCCGGGGCCGGTCCTGCGTGTGGCGATGCGCGCGGCCGGTTGTAGGTATCGTAGTAACTCCCTGTATCCCAACACCTCCGTGCGAGGGGTTGTTATGGCAGCCGCGCTCCCCGCTGCCTCCCTCTGGCACCGCGAAAGGACGGGGAGGCTGCTCCTGTTTCGTTGGGTTGTGTTTTTAAAGCACGACCTCTTGCCTCTTTGCCAAATAGCCGATAAGTATGAATAGAAGATTCACGGCGAATCTTGGCTCCCTCCTCCAGAAGCTGGTGCTGTGATAATGCCTAAGACTGAAGGAGGGTGGGAGGAAATATGTCTTTTTTTCTTTCTTTCTTTTTTTCCTGATTTTTGTTCATTTCTCTTGGAGTTTTGGGTTGGTTTTACAGGCTTTTTTTTTTTTTTTTCCTCCCTTTTTTTTTTCTCTAGTGTTTCACTTGTACTTTTCTCCTAGCATTCTGTCTCAGTTACAGAGACCTGCTTCTTTCTGCACTACACTGGGAAAAGAGATTCTGGCAGCTCTGCATACAAATAATGAACAATATCTTGTAGATTTATACATTTAGAATTTCTGCACAATTTGCTGGATGGTAAATTTTTGAGATACAGAAAAGAATTTGTAAGAGTAATGAGCAAGGTTTCTTCGTGCCTTAAGAGGCTGCTGGTAGCCTGAAACAAAAAATATTTAAGCAATATTAAGGAACTAAGTTCTTTTGCCGCTAAAAATGATTGTTCCAGTAGTTCTCATTCAGACCACGAAGATTTACAAGGGAAATTCTCATGTCAGTTTAGCCAGTAATGTTTTCTGGAGACTGGGTTTAAACCATGAAGCCTTTGATTAGGACGGGCTGGCTAGAGCTCTGTATTATCTGTCACCCTGCACTTGCATAGGTGCCTTTCTGTGACTTTAAAGGTAGTCTGCTTGAGCAGCAGTTGAGCAGTAAATGATAACGACAAGCAGGATTCAGCCCCTGAAGCACTTGCATTTCTGGAATAATATTTCCAGACTGATACTGATACTCCAGAACAAAATAGGATCTGGTTGTGATATCTTTTTTAAATGTTTGCTTTTCAGTAGGAGAGAGACACAAGTGTGTAGTGGTGTGTTTAAGAATGAAAAAGAAATCTTTGCCTATATGATTCATGTGTTGAAATGCACTAGATTCAAGTTAAATAGGTGGAGATAATGTAAATGACCCATAAATAGCTTCTGTTGTTTATAATGAAAATAGAACAGTCTTGTCATCCTGAAATTGGAATAGAGTGAGCATGTTACAAGACGGATGAGGAACATCAAGACTCTTTTAATGGCAAACTGAACTCTTGAATAAGCCTCAGAAATTTCTGAAGGAATACAAGCATGCTTCCTAATGCTTCTATGGTCATGATTCTGATCCCGGTTAAATTATCAGGAGATTCTCCACAGACAATTCTTCGTGAGCAAAATCAAAGACACATTTCTTCTATCTGCCTTTGTGGAATGGGAATGTGAAAAGATCACTCACATTTTTCCTTATTACTGTAGCTGGAAGGATTTATTTGGTATCTTAGGTGGAATATTCCAAGCCTTAACTGCTCTGAGCTGAAGTCAAGTTTACCATTCTTACCCACCCAGACAGCTCAGTTGAAATAATTCATGTAAGAAAGAAAAATATATGTATAGCTCCAGTCTGTTTTATTGGGCCCTACTAGGTAAATAATAGTCATGTTTACTAGGATTTTTTTTTTTTAAGAGAAAAGCTTGCCTTTGAATGATACTTTCACACTTGCTACCACCAAAATTTCATTTTAGGTTGTGGGAATAGCATGTTTCTTAAAATGGCATTATTTGTTTTATGGTTTGGATATGAAAGGACTAGCTGAATTTAACCAAGCTGGGGAGCAGATGTTTCTAACTTTAGTGATTTAAAAATATCCTTGGTGATTTAAAAATAACCTTAAATTGTAATGAAAAGAAAAGACCATTTTGGTCACTCCAAAAGGGGCTGCAGCTAATGTTACTTGGTACAAATTACGAATTGAACTTATTTAATATTAGACCAAGGTAAAACTGCAACAAGAGAGAGAGTTGGCAGTATTCAGACTTTTTTGGAAAGGTCGTAATGAAAAACCCAAAAGAATTGCAAAATATATACAAAAAAAGTTGTAACTTGAGGAGTCTGATATATCTCCCATGGGAGTCCAATGGTAGAGTCCCACTGATTCCAGTAAGCATTAAGATCTGGGCTGAATTCTATAAGAAAAAGAGGGTAAGGATAATCTAATTAGATACTACAAGAATTTTGACAGATAGCTGCTAAAAACGTATTGTAAATGTATGTTTTTCTCAGTTAGAAGGGAGTTCTGGCTCCACTGAAGATGAATTGGAATTTTGCCACTGATTTCACTGGGGCCAAAATGTCACTCTGAGAATTACAGTTCAAATGACTTCTCAAATATGTTGCATGTTATATTTAATCCGGTTTTAATATGTGTGATATTATACTGAAATGAGGTTACCTTTGCTGAGCTGAAGTTATTAATTAGTTATTAGTGATCATTTCCCCTTTTACTTTTTTTTTTTTAAATGTCAGTCTTCCAGAAATGGCAAGAAATACAAAATATTCTTCTTGTTAGAGTGCACTCATAAAACTGAATTATTCAAGACCTGTACTGTGCCATTGTGCAATCAAAATTTTAATACGATGCTGTCAAAGCAATAAAATAGGAAAATCAAATGTGACATCATAGAAGACAATGTATATAGCTGACATGACATCTGGATGTTTTAATTTCCCCTCTTTATACTTAGTGGTTAATGAAGACAGACTTTTCTTTCTTTCCTTGGAGGAGGTTCATAACCCCATGTATTATTTGTTGAGAAAAAAAAAAGTTGTGTGCATTTTCTTAAAAAGAGATGTATCTCTGGTGAAGAGGAATGCCAAAGAAATGGAATACCAAAGGATACTTCACTGGGAAGTAAGGAAGTGAGACAGTTTGTAGCTAACAGGGAAACTCTTGTCAGGAATGTGTTCTACACTAGGTTAGATATGGTCTAGACAGAGGACGACAGCAACTACAGTT